CCTCGCCGAGCGCCTCGATGTCGCAAGTGTCGTCTGCATCAATCGCGCGGTCAAGGACACGCCCTCCGACAGCCGACAAGAAGAGGCCCTATCTTCCAGAGGCATAGCACTGGCGCCGGCTGCCCGCGAAAAACTGCGGGTATATGGGACTGACACTTCGAAGGCGCAGCTCGGTCTCTCGGACCAGGAGTACAACTGGCTGACCCAGCACGGAACGCACATCATCCACAACGCGTGGCCCATGAGCGCTACACGGCCGCTCAAAGCCTTCGAGCCCCAGCTTCAGGTAATGCGGAACCTGTTGGATCTGGCACGCGACATGGCCCTCCGAGATGAGCCGCGCAGGATCGGATTCCAGTTTGTCTCTTCGATCGGCGTGACGGGGTTTTCGAACGAGTCCACCGTCCTCGAGCAGCCCATGGCAATGGCCGCGGCGATACCCAGCGGCTACAACGAGGCCAAGTGGGCGTGCGAGCGCATGTTGACCGACACGCTGCGCCGTCACCCGCAGCTTTTCCAGGCAATGGTGACCCGGCCCGGCCAGATTTCTGGATCAACTGCAAGTGGCTTCTGGAATCCGGTCGAGCACTTTGCTTTTATTGTGAAAAGTGCTCATGCACTGAAGGTATTTCCTGATCTGCAGGGCGTACTACATTGGCTACCCGTGGACAAATCTGCTAGCGTCATGGTGGATCTGCTCAATATCGGCAGTGGCGGAGACTCAGGAGAGGTCTATCCAGTCTATCACGTCGATAATCCTGTGGGTCAGTCGTGGAAGGAAATGGTGACGGTTCTGGCGGCATCTCTGGATATCCCATCCCACGGCATCATTCCCTTCGGGGAGTGGATCCAGCGAGTTCGTCAATCATCTCTGCCAGCAGCGCAGAACCCGGCGTCCATGGGCGTGGGGTTCCTTGAGAGTCATTTTGAACGCATGGCTTGCGGTGGGATCGTGCTGGACACGCAGCATTCAAAGGAGCACTCGAAAACCATGGCCGCACAAGGGCCAGTGAGTGCTGAGGTGGTCCGGTCATATGTCTCGTCTTGGAAGGCGATGGGGTTTCTTCGTCATTAGAAGTTTACTTTGTGGTTCTACATAGAGCGCTTTTTATTATAGTATGTCAATAGTATCGAGTCATCTTCAGTCCTTAAAGTACATGGCAAGATTCTAAAGCATGTGCCCGCTCTACATATGCGAGAGAAGCATGTAAACTATCATACATAAATACATCAGTCGTCCCTCGGAAGATAACAATATGGTTTAACCTCTGATAAGTATGTTTCCGAGCAGCCAAATGGACAGGTCCTGATTGTATCGTATAGTATTGACCATCATATAGGGTTAGCAAATCATTGTCTCGTCCTATCGTTCAATAGTCCGGATACTCTGAGTCATTACAAGCACCATGACTCGAGGAGATACTCGCCCAGCATTGGTCGATAAGGCGGACTATCATAACTCCAGCTTGCCCTAATGGAGTAACCACCCTCCGAAGAGAGGATATCAGACTTATAAACAGGACTCCCCGTGGACCTGAAGATCAGCAGCAAACCATTTCCTAGTACTGCATTTCAACAGCATGAACAACGCAGCAACGATCCACCTACCACGCATCCTCTGCCTCCACGGCGGAGGCACCAACGCTGTGATCTTCCGGATGCAGTGCCGCGTGCTCGAAAAGCGCCTTGGCCGTTCTTTTCGTCTCGTCTATGCACAAGCTCCATTCACCAGTACAGAACCCGGGCCAGATGTAACGTCGGTCTACAGAAACTACGGGCCTTTCAGGGTCTGGTTCTGTGATCACAACATGTCCAAAGCCCTGACATCCCAGGATGTTGCTACAGCGATTGACGCCAGTCTTGCACTTGCCATGGCTGCCGACGACGCACAGGGTGCTACGGGCGACTGGATTGGCCTGTTGGGCTTCAGCCAGGGCGCAAAGGCGGCAGCTAGCATTCTTTACCGGCAGCAAAGGTGTGGAATCACCAACTTTCGGTTCGCGATTCTCTTTGCCGGTCGTGGGCCTTTGGTGTGGCTCATGCCTGACCTTCCCCAGCCGATTGGTCTGGTCGACGCCGCTACACCGTTCACATACTCCTCTTCTCCCTGGCTTACTATGGGCTCTAACGAGCACATGTTGCGGCTGCCTACAGTGCATGTCCATGGGGTAAACGACCCTGGCCTGGAGCATCACCGAGATCTGCTTCGGGAGTACTGCGACCCGCTACAGGCCACACTGTTGGAGTGGGCGGGCGATCATCGCATGCCGATCAAGAGCAGAGACGTCGAGACAGTAGTCCAACAGATTCACCGAGTTGCAAGAGAGACAGAGACTCCGTCCGTAATGATGACTGGAAAAGGTTTCTATGGAGAGTCGGTCGAGAATGGCTTCTCGCTACAGACTTTGAGCATGTACATTTGAAATTGTTATGGGTGGCGTTAAAGGGGTTCATGGGACGATACCACAATATATTCTATACCACGACGTATACTGCATGTCGTAGGGCTTTGTCACGATATCCATGCCGCCCGGATGGGAAGTTGAAATACCCTATGAAACACGGTATTTCATCTGCTACGGTATCTCGTGAAACACCGTATTTTATTTTATAAAACATAGTATTTAGAAGAATGTCTACATTAGCACGGGTAAACTAACCTATTTTACTGTAGCGGAATAGGGAGTGGATAACTGGCTTTTTGAATATGAGGATATTATAGGAAATACATTTTTAAGGCTCATGAGTATTTTAAATCACTGAAGTATTCAATAAAATTCGGTATTTCGAGCTAAATTATAGTATTTCACCGAGCAAAGGTATTTCAATCACTGAAGTATGTAACGAATTACCGTATCCTACTCTAGCTACGGTATTTTGTCCTAAGATACGGTATTTCACTTTCTTATATTGCCGGCATGGATAAATTGTAAAGGGGTGATCCCCAAACACAGCCGTACTTCCTTCCATTGACCAAGTGTCTCTGTCCTCTGCGGATGCATGTCAGACCGCGGAACAACATTAATCTTGATATTTTGGTTGAAAAAGTGGGTAACGTCTCTCTCGTACTGTCTTACCACCACTCAGCCCGGGGAAACGATGTTGAAGCGGACTTTCTATGGGGGCGAAAAGACAAGCTGGGGCCAAACACAGCCACTTGCTTCACGCTTATCAAGGCCACAGCATCCCACAACGGAGCAAGAATAATTTAAATCACAATGTACAGCTCATTAAACACCCTTAAGACCTCTTTCTGGCGTACAACAAGATATCTGAGTCTCCCAAAACGCTTCTCAAGACTCACCTACTCTCATTCTCCCAACATGCCCTCCATCACCACCGACCAGTGGCTCGAAGCCGCCGCCTACCGTCGCAGTGTCCGTGCCTTGGGGGGAACCTCCAAGGTTTCAGATGAACGAGTTCATGAGATTGTCGCCAAAGTCCTTTCCTTTGCTCCCTCGTCTTACAATACTCAGCCCGTCCGCATCTCGCTTGCTTTTGGGGAGAAGCACAAGGAGCTCTGGAGCATTATCCTCAGGGATGCTGAGCCGATCCTCAAGTCAATTAATCCAGGTCTCTGGCAGAAGATGGGCCCCCTTTTCGAAGGCCATAAAGCTGCCTATGGATCCGTATGTTACCACTTTGTCACTTGTCACTCAGACCATCTAACATGTGCAGGTACTCTTCTGGGAGCGCGGTGATACGACGAAAGAGGCTGCCGAGACGCACAAAGCAACTGGGCACATGTTTGGCGAATGGGGAGAGCATACTCAGGGCATCCATCAGATCCTTGTCTGGACTGCCTTGGAACTGGAGGGAGTCGGAGCCAATCTGCAGCACATGAACGCCATTCCACCCATCGAGGCTGCCATCAAGAAGTTCGCAGGGGTCCCTGAAGATTACAAACTGAAGGCCCATTTGAACTATGGTGATGAGCAGGCTCCTCGTCCCGAGAACCCGCCGAAACTGCCAATTACCGAAACGCTCACGATTCTATGATCAGATTTAGATATGGCTGGGGGGAGGCCTAATAACATGATCTTATAGGGATACTAGGTAGATGGCGATAAACTTGATTGTGCTACGGTCTCTTATATCTGACTCTTTAGGACTGCCTAGAGCACAGCAGGGCTAGTGGATTTGACAAGCCTTTGCTAGTAAGCCTCTCGCTTCGCAGTTAGATGAGCGCGTTGGTATTCTGAGTGTCTGCGTATATCTCCCTAGAAAGTCCCGGGCCACTTCATGTATACCCATGTTGGCTTAGTAGATACTTTTCACTTCCTTTTTTCCTGCAATCCAAAATTACCGAAACTCAGTACTAACTAGAGGACCCTAAATCATGCATTATCTGCTTGATTAACTTTTTATAGATCTTTAGTACTTGTATCTAAATACCCATTAACTCTAAGGAACCCCTATTCTTTTATAATAAACAATGTTTACTTATGTCTTACAGTACATCCCTTAACTGGTGTCATCACCTACCCTCTTCGACTGTTTCTCGAACCCTAATGCCAAGATTCACTATGCCGTATCAGGAATAAATCCGGAGTATAGATATTCCCGATGTATAGCCCATACTGCACTTTACGCCATGTGATACATTTACTTCCTGTCTCCTTACTGTATGGTGTAGCTGGAACTTTCCGTACTAATAATGCAAATAATCAGGAGCTCGAATGGGCCTCAAGAGTCTGGCAAGGTGTCACTTCCCTCTGCCACACACTCCCACCATCTTCAAGTAAAGATCTAAGGACTTACTTGGTACACACTAAATAGCTCAAATGATGCACGTACTCTACGTGTCTAACAGAACATGAAGGTGATTAACAAAAGTCAAAATGATTACTGATCATGATCTAACAACTGCCATGAAGCTCTCAATATAAGTCAATGGAGACAGAGGCCTAAAAGTCACCAAGGACCACAAAGATAGCAAACCGAGGTCTATAAACCTACATCTAACTGCATCGATAAACAGTGACATCACCGATCTAGACTCAAGCTCCGTAATGAACAAACTGTGCCCAATGTAACGGCCGTTTTCGATATTCAACCCTCATCGAAACGTCAGAAACCGCCTTATGAAGCGCCATCGCGACAGCTCTATCAGTGTACTTTAAAGCTCCGTTTTGAGAGAGCTTAGCATAAAACAATCTCGCAACCTCCACGCACACGCTATCATCAGACGGCCACAAAGTCCCAATGACGTGTCTAAACCCGGCGACCTGGAAACCACTGACAACATGCAGGCCCTCATCTATCAGACCTTCAGCCCGATTCTCTGCAGTCGAGCATGCAGAGAGGTATGCAATTTCTCCAAGAGTAGGGTGGTTTTCGCAGAGCTTCAGAACAGTCAGGATTTCCTGTTCTGGATCTGCAGTGGCAGTCTGCAGTAAAAGGCCACTTTGAGAAGGATCACGCGAGTTTGAGGTTCCGTGGCAAGCGAAATGGGCAATATTGCATTTGCTAATCTGGCTAATAACGCTCGAGGAGTCCGGTTGGTCGAGAACTTCCACATGAACGGAATTTCCAAGTGCTCCTAGGACAGTGGATTTTTCGGCCTTAACCCCGGGTAAGTCATTCGCGCCGGGTGTCTTTGCCATGGTAACCATGAGTAGCTTTGGAGTGGTTTCGTTTGATTTGGTAGAGATAGAAACCCGCTCTCTGGCATGTATGAGTGCTTTGATCGAAGTGGTGTAAGAAGATAAAACGCGACAAAATGTATTTTCCCCTGCAGAGACATCACACGCCGCGTGAAATGGAAAGGAGCTGGCAAGCCCAGTCCCGATCCACCAGACCCTTGGAAGATTCTCCGGAGACGGTTGAGCAGAATAACCGAGCTCAGTAAGGACAGGCTTTACGCACTCCCGCCAGAGCCAGGTTAAAAATTGGCGGTATGATTTGTTATTCCCAGCCGAAGTCAACTTCTGGTCGACCCAACGCTGCGCTTGGACCACCTCAAATCGAGGAAGAGGGACCAGGCTAAATCCGGATACAGAGATAATGATAGCATCACTTCGTAGGTTGGTAACATTCACTACGACGATGCTGCCCTTCCTAGAAGCAGACTGTATTTGCTCTGCAGAAAGACCCTTTTGAAAGGAGCCGAGGTCTGGAAGCTCTCGTATGTCCTGTATGCATCTCTCGAGCTCCTCGATAGCCTGTGGCCGTCTTGTGGAAATGTATTCACCCGTTTGCTGGGATTTGGTGCTCTCTAAAGGAGTATTCACCTCTAGGCGAAGGCTTTCGTATCGTGCACATAAAACGGGATGGGCCTCTTTTAGTTTGGACGTGTCACTCCGGTCATCCATAAGAAGACTTAGAATAACACCACGTCCACTCTCTAACAATCGTAGAGCTTCGAAAAGGGGCTGTTGAGTCTGAATGGCCAGGGAGCATGCTTGTGTAGCTAATCCAGAAAAACACGAGACGACATATTGTCGATCCTGCACGGTTAAGGACCTTTTGTGCATGAGCTGCAGGAGATTGATAGCTTCAACAGACAGTGCGTAACAGCCATGGTAATCTTCTCGCTTAAGTAGGGGGCGAAGTGCCATTACAATAGCGTTGATCCGGTTGAAAGGAGGTGCAGACTTGATCTGAACAGCCTGTCGACAGACTCGTATCGCCTCTTCGATGTCTTGCATCTGCCCCGTTCGTTCATATCTGACTCCGAGCATGACTCCGAGGTTGATCAAGCCCGCCGTAAGGTCGGGGTGGTCACTGGGAATGCCCTCAACCGCTTGGCGAGCTACCTGAATCGCCTCTTCGAGGTCGTTCATCTGCCCCGTCTGTTCGTATTTACTACCGAGTTTGTTTCCGAGGTTAATCAACCACCTCGCAAGGTCGGGATGGTCATCAGGAGTGGACTGGACTGCCTGGCGAAACACCTGTATCGCCTCTTCGAGGTCTTCCATTCGCCCTGTTCGTACATATCGAAGACCGAGCGAGTTTCCGAGGTTATATAACCAACTCGGCCTTGAGAGATGATCATCAGGAGTTTCCTTAACCACCTGGCGAGCTATCTGGATCGCCTCGTTGAGGTCTTCCATTTGCCCTGTTCGTTTGTATCGACGACCGAGCTTACTTCCGAGGCTATTTAAGAAAGCTGCAAGGTCTGGAGTGCCCTCAACCGCCTGGCGAGAGAGCTGGATCCCCTCTTCGAGATTTTCTATCTGCCCGGTATGGTTGTGTCGACTACCGAGCAAGTTTCCGAGGTTATTTAAGAAAACTCCAAGGCTAGGATGGTCACTTGGGGTGCCCTCAACAGCCTGGCGAGCTATCTGGATCGCCTCTTCGAGGTCTTCTATCCGCCCTGTTCGTCGGTATCGATTCCTGAGCATGACTCCGAGGTTGTTCAGCAAAGCTGCAAGGCTAGGATGGTCACTAGGAGTACGCTTAATTGCCTGGCGAGAGAAGCGGATCCCCTCTTCGAGGCTTTCCATCTGCCCGGTTCGTTGATATCGATGATCGAGCAAGGTTCCGAGGTTACTTGAAAAAGCTGCAATGCTATGATAGTCACTTGGGGTGCCCTCAACAGCTTGGCGAGCTATCTGGATCGCCTCTTCGAGGTCTTCTATCCGCCCTGTTCGTTGGTATCGAGTTTCGAACATGACTCCGAGGTTGCTCAGCAAAGCTGCAAGGCTAGGATGGTCACTAGGAGTACGCTTAATTGCCTGGCGAGAGAAGCGGATCCCCTCTTCGAGGCTTTCCATTTGCCCGTTTCGTTGATATCGATTTCTGAGAGAGTTTCCGAGATTACTTAACCACCCCGTAAGGCCGGGATGGTCATCAGAAGTGTTCTCAACCACCTGGCGAGCTATCTGAATCGCCTCTTCGAGGTCTTCAATTTCCCCGGTTCGTTCATATCGATGACTGAGTGCATTTCCGAGGTTATTCAAGAAATCTCCAAGGCTAGCAGGGGCACTAGGAGTGCCCCTCACCACTTGACGAGCTATCTGGATCGCCTCTTCGAGGCCTTCCATCTGGCCCATTCGTTCGTTACTACTTCTGATCGAGTTTTCGAGGTTAATTAACCCTCTCTGAAGGCTGGAAAGGTTAATAGGAGTGGTCTGAACTGCCTGGCGAAACACCTCGATCGCCTCTTCGAGGCTGTCAATTTTCTTGGCATGTTGTGGAAGAACGGTGGTATGTTGCCGCGCTGTGCGAACATCTTCCTCAGGATTCCCAATCGCTCCAGTCACGGAAAATCCGTCATCTAAGTTCTCAGAGCTAATGCTCCATTTCACATGTTGACGTTCGATTTCAGTTGCTATCGAGAAAGAGGTATCGTATTGTTTCTCGGAACTGTTTTCCGCCTACCTGACTATTAGATCTCATTGTCCAGATAGCACTATTTACTGTACGCGACGGTGCATGCACAGGGAGTCGACAATATACTCATGCTGCTTGACCATTTGAATCAAATTCAATACTTACCGCTGTTGACAATGAAATTCGGGCTTCTTTCACGATGTTCTCCCATCCAGAAAACTGTAAACCAGGTAAGTGCAAGCGAAATTGAACGGTAACCTTGGGGTTTGTACCTGAGCTCGGACCCAAATAGCCAGTCGATCACCCTCCTCGAGAACGGAAAAAAATCGGGCCCCTCTTCCATCGCTTTCACCCCGTGTCCATGTCACGACTTGGTGTTTCCATTCGGTTTGAATGTTGTTCTTTGCAAATGGCAAACTTATTGCCGGTGAAGGAGCTGTTCTGCCCTCGTTGTCCTCCGTCGGAATTTCCTTAAAGTACAACCCCTGCTCCTGCATGATTATTCCGAAATCGTCAGGGCACGATTTGAGATATATGGCATCATCCAAGTTATTGAAATCTGGATTTGCGTTCTCCTGCCACGAACCTAAGATGGAGACTTCAAACCAGGACCAGGACCCATCTTGCGGACGACTACACCATCCTTGATCGTGGCTAACAATATCGAACCGAACAACAGAAATATTGGGTGGTAGGGGTGGGGATACGAGATATAGCGAAGTCCACCGATCTGCAGGAGGGTGGAAGGATGGAGGTATTCTTAGCATTTGCTTACGGCTCCCATGCAATTTTAAATTTGTCGCACCGAACAAGGCAGCCATTGCGTGTTTTCTGATGTGCAAAAGTTTCGAATTTGTCGTGCGATGATGATATGATAAACACAGGATGTACTTGTCGTCGCTGTAGACTTATCCGACGGAGATTGTTGGAGAGCCTTCGCATAAAAGTATCAGCACGAGCGTCTATGTTTCAGCGGTCACCGACCTATCCCCGCAATCAATCACAGGGACATCTTTCATGCCTGTACGCTCATATCGACTCTCGAGTGCGCTTCCATTTTATTTTCTCGAGGAATTTCGAGTGTCGATATCATTAAGCTTATGTATCTTGTAAAATAATCAAGTCGTTTCTTCAATGTTGTGCATCAATTTTGTCCGTTTACAGTACATCATAAGCTGATGGAAATCCTTGAATCGCATGCTCTTTGGAAAGTTCAGCCCGTAGGGGCCAAAACGCCGCCGATCTTCCAACACGTCACAACATGAGCAACATCCTTAGTGGTTCAATATTTGCCGCCCGAAACCCACGAATAGTATAGCCTATAAGTACACTGTGGTAATAGACTACCAGGCTATCTATCTCGCTGTCTAGTCGCTTGCTACGTGCTGCACGAACAGATGCAACGACCTGTCGAGGTGCCCCATGAGGTCTCCAATTATACAATGCCACGTCTCCTCCCTCCTTTACGCAATCCATTCTTATGACAACGGTAAGTGTAGTGGTCTGCTAAAGTCTTATAAGCAGCTTGAAGAACTTGGTGCTGTCAGCCGATCGCGACGATCAACCATATGGGGCTATAGCGCGGCCGGTCCCGTAGTTGACAACTTAACCCTCTCTGCCACGTCGCCAGCTATTTCTTTCCTCACCTTCCCTCCTATAACAACCCAATTTGCTCTATCTTATTCGTACCACGCCACATATCCGATACACTTCGAAATGCGCAGTAGCGTTCTTCTCCCGCAGTTCTTCCTACCACCGTCTGCCATTAAGCTGGGACGATTCGTTACTAATATCGATGAGCCTCATCGATATTACCTTGATCCGAGATCAGAGACGAATTTCCGTGTTATCGAAAAAGTTGCAACCCAGTACGACGGCGCCGATTCTGTTAGGGCCCAACGTAAATTTGGTTCCGAGCTAACCGCCTTCCTCTCCTCCACCGTGTCAAGCCTTACGAATGCCATAATTCACATCAACACGAAACAAGTGAAGACCTATTACTTGGACAACAATGGGCAGTGGTTCCGGGATATCGTGAATTCGGAAGATGTCCGGAAGTGGATTGAGCGTACCATCGATGAGGGAGAGGATATATATGTTGTGATTGGCTACCATACTGTGTTGGATGCTCGTATCGCCGAGCAATCGCGAGAACAAAAGGTTCTGGATGGTAGTCTAGCTATGCCAATCTCGAGTGCGCTGTTAGCATCAGGAGTTGTTGTGCCATTTGGCGAACTAGCTGATCCTAGACTGGCTGGGTCTAGTGTGCGCGCGGAAGACTTGCAACGGCAGTTTGTGGCCCAAGGCGAGCAAATCATTGCGGTGCAATATCGCAAGGTCAGATTTCGTTTCCTGTCAAGCAAAAGCGTTGACAATGCAACGCTAGCTAAAGAGGCGAGATGGGAGAGATATGACCGCCCTCGTTACCTTCAAAGCGATATGGAAGACATGATAGAGGTCGCGCTGGATGATGATCTGTCACTCGAAGGTTACCGTGACAAATATATAGCGGGATCGGAGGAAATGATCTTTTCGAATATTGGTATTGATTCAGGATAGTGATCTCGATCTTCTGATTGCATAATTCTAATATGCTATATATAGATTCTTACTTCTCGGCGTATCTAGTACAAATGGTAAGCGGAATGTGAAAGCCTCAGACTTAATTAGATAAGTGCGGAGTCGACCACCTCTGCATATGCCGTAACAAGCGTTACCTACTCGCCTATCACCGCGTGTGGACGAAAAAACGGGAGTTGCGTTGACTCAATATTGATATTCTTGAGTATCAGCAGCAACAGGACGCTGAGAGTGGTGCTGGTGCTGGGCAAAACGGTGCTCTCCTTGTGTGACCACTCGAGGTTGATAAAATATCCGCGCCTACCAAGGGACGATATTTGAAGTAGGGTATCGAGGTACAAGCCGTATCGAAAGTACAAGTGAATACACCCCGCCATGTGCTCTGGTTATTTTGTGTACGAATACAAAAGGATACAGTCCCACTGACAGGGACACTCCGGAAAAATGTTTAATATAGACTAGCGTGTCTTCGCAATTAGGGTTCGAGAAAGAATCGAAGAGTGCAGGTGGTGACACCAGTTACGGGAAGTACTGTACTATATTACTTAGGTTAAAAAAGGCCCTAAAATAAATAATAAAGGGTTGTAAAATCGCTCCATACAACGCCGCTAAACTAGTAAATGAAACCACGAACTCCGTTCTGCAATAATAAAGAGAAGCAGAAAAAGGCTTGATCTAGACTAAATTCTTTATTCGCATTCATATTATTCATATTATGAAAATTATCCGCGTTAATACTTTATTCGGTACAGCGGTTATCGTATTACTGATATTCGCTTCGAGGTCTATTTCACAATGGCATCACTTCATTAGGAACGCTAGACTGTGAATCGGTTGCGAATATATGCTAGAAGATACAAGCCGCCTATTTGAGCTTCTATCAGCTTAGTGTGCCGTAGCTCGTACGTTGTCATTATTTGATCCATGGATTAGACCACTTCGTATTGAATATGTTGTTACCGTGCGAAAGAAGCTGATGGGTTAGTCTTGGACGTGCGGAAGAGCACGCGGCAGCCCCCGGGCATCACTTACTCTGCGACGACCCCACATTCTGCTGCTTTAACCAGTCAGACGGTCTTACCCCTGCCAAGAAATGCGGCCGGGTGCGCCCCATGTGAGCGCCCTTGGTTATTCGAACGTATGCCAAAGGATTGCACTTGCAACGACCTTGAAAGCCGATCTAATATACTCCAACAGCTGAATATTCAGCCAGACTCTATCTCGGCTTCGGAAAGATAACTAACAAGTTACACATTTCGTATTAGGTCAGACCTCCTTGATTTAAGCTAACATGAACCTTTTTATATTTTGTCACCTGGATTCAAACACAAAGACGATTTCAAATTCTAAAAATGTACATCTCTACGAAGCCATGCGCTCCGCACGGCTCTGCAGCTCCTTGACCATATCAATCCCGACCTGGGTAGCCTCGTCCAACTTCTCCTCCGGCAAGCCCAACAGCTCGTTCTGTGCCTTGTCAGAGTGGTTGCCGGCATCCTCCGGGAAGAAGGCTCGCGCGTAGAGCAGCTTAGCAAATCCAGCCATGTTGCCGGTCTTGACCATTCCCAGACCATCTGCGTATCGCTTGTGGGCATCCTCTTGGCTAATCGTCCAGTCGGCGTCCGTCGTGCCAGTCACGCGCTTGACGCTCTCAAACATCTCGTTCTGGCTGACGACAAAGCTCTTGAGGTAGACGGGCTTGTTGAGCCAGCTCGAGAGAGTCAGGCTCTTGTCGTTTTCGTCATCCGGAAGCACCTTCAAGCTGAGCACCGTCGCAACAGCGCGCCCGACCTGGGCCAGAGTCGAGACTGAAGTCTTGGTGTTGCCATCGCCGTAGATCGTTAGTTCTTTCTTGTCAAAGTCGAACCCGAAGCGCGCCGACCCGCCCGCTAGGCTGTAGTCGTACCAGAACCCACAGCACACGGTGATCCACTTCATGCCCAGCTGCTCGATCTCGTCCCGGTTGGCCTGGGCCACGGGTCCGAGCATGACATCCTGGCCGAACTTGACATGCTCAATGTCGCCGGCGTATCCGTTGGGCATGATGTAGGGGACGCCTGCCTTAGCGGCCGCCTGAACAAGCTTGCTGTGTGTGTCGCGGGGCGCAGTGGGGGCGACAGTAATAATAAAGAACTGTTGG